TTCATACGGCAGCGCTGCGGTCGCATAAATTTCAACACTGCGGAGAAGCTGCGGCAGCCGAACGGGGTAGAAAAAGGCTGCCAACAGACAGACGCAGAAGATGTGGGCGGCTCAGAGATATGTTTCTATATACACTATATATATATGCATATATATAAAGGCTTTGAAACTGGAACGTTGTCAACAGCTGCTGCTGCTTCAACTGCTTCTGCTGCTGCTGCTGCTGCTGCTGCTGCTGGCGAGCAGGATGACAAAGTTTCGCTGCGATGATTGCCTCACGGTAGTTTTGTTTTTGTTGCTGTTGTTGCTTTGGCTGCTTGTGACAGAGTTGCCAGGCTGCCATTCAAGGTGTTTGGCCAAAACAAATGCTTGGCTGGCACTTAAAAAGCATGATTTATTTGCGCTTAGCCATGCCGTGAATCCATCTGCATAAATTTGAATTATGTACGATCGTAAATTTGTGCCTGCCCAGCCATGCCATATTGTATATACACACATACATACATATATATGTTTCTATTTTGGAACACACAGTTAGCTTTGGCTGGCTGCCTGGCTGCCGTTATAGCGCTGCGATCCATCAATGAATTCGGAACTCAATGAACTCGTACTACAGCAACAAAAACTATCGCCCATAAAGCGCTATCGATCGTCCATCGCCGATCGTCGCACAGCCTCTCTGCGCGCTTCTCAGCCTCATTTCGTATGCATTTTAGTTTGTATGTTAATTTTTATTATTATTATATTTGGTTGTTGCTGTTTTGTTGCTGTTGTTGTATTTGTCTTCTTCTTTCTGTGCTCTTTGGTTTCCAGTTTCAGTGTGTGCCCATTGTGTTTTATTTAATTTTAATTTTTATTTCGTAAATTTTAAATTTGTTGTCACTTCTGTAGGAGCGCAAAAGGTTTTTCCATTGTTCGTTCAATTCTGAAAAAAAAAAAAAACTGAATTCGAAATCGATTTCGTTTGTGTTTTTTTATTATAATTGGGTGCGGTGCGGTAGGTTTTTTAAGTCTCTCTATAATATCTGCCTCTTCCTCTCACTCTGCTTAACTATATTGTATATATCTTCATCGCTGTCATTGTAGCGACAATTCAATAAACCCAAACCAATCCACAAAAAAAAGAAGATATATTTTTTTTATGAATAGCTTGCTGCATATTTAAATAAGTGTGTATGTGTGCATGTGTGTGTGTGGCGATTGTCTTTTTTATTCATACATAGAATATTAATAAAATTTATGGTTTATTTGGAATTTTCGTGGCTTATTAATTTGCCATAAAAACCTGGTGGGCAAAGTGTGTGGCAAAAGTTAAGTGGCAATCGGTGGCACATAGACGCCGAGAAAGCGAAACACACACACACACACACACACACGTGTATCATCTCAGGCCTATTCCCAGATGAATCACAGCTTGTTAGCAAAGTTCACAGCCGACTTGCGTCGATTTGCTTGAGTTTATTTAGGTTTACCTATTCAGCTCTTTTTTTCGTTTATTCTTCGCACAGGTAATTTATTTTTGCAGCACAGAACTCGATTTCGTATATATACAATATATGTGTATATAGTATAGGCATAGCATAAACTATTTATATAACCAGCTTATGCTAATACAAGAATTGCTTCACATATCAGTCTAGGCAGAGAGAGGGTTTACTGTGTTAGTGAAAATTCTAAATCTAGTTGAAATATGAGTCTTGACTGAATCTCCAGCATACGATTCAATATGATTCTATATGCTCCAATTCAACATTCTTTCAAGGTTTTCTGAGTTCACTTTTTCCGGCAAAAGACCTTTTAGACAAACTCCCTGAAGCTTTTCTAAGAATATTTGATCAACGGCTTTATTTTCTTGAAGATTGTTATCGTCTTTTTTCCATAATAATCAGTCAAGTACTTAAATATACATATATAAATAATAATATACCATATATAAATAATATATAAATAATAATATATCATTAAATAAATTAAAATATCATTAAATTTAATTAAATATATCATTAAATAAACTTCAAATTTCAAAAATAAATGAAAATCTCAAAATCGTCAACGATTTCGTTAATATAAAAATAAGATTTTGATTACCTCTGAAATGTCATTTTCATATAACCAAATCTTTTGTTTTCATTGCTGTTAATCACCATGAATGCTAAAGAGAAACTTTTTATGATTGCCTCTTTTTTTTTATATCACTGTCGGATCCTTCGACTTGATTGTTTGTTTATGCACTTTAAATTTCAACAGCTGTCAATAAAGAGTCGTATATGTACTTGCAGTTGCTGCTTCATAAGGAATTGTCTGTAAAAAAAAGCGCAAAAAATCAATTTGCGTATCGCCTGATTGGATATATGCAAATGTGAAGCCAAAAATGCGGAATGAAGCCATCAAAATCGAATTGAAGTTGAGTTTAAGAAACGTTGCCTTAAATATGGCAATATCTCCACAGCGATGCGCCGCACAAGGAGAAACAATTTGAGCATTCTTTTATTTTCTCTCTTGTTTTTAAACTTTATTGATGCTTCATGTCAATTCGCCAGCTCCGCAAAGCGAAAACTTAATTAAAAAGTCCAACGGCAGGCGAACCAGGGGAACAGAAAAAAACAATAAGATGAGAAGAAGAGGCAATCCTTTTTGGGGCCACTTAATTAAAATCACAAAAGGCGCAGAGTTATGTAAAATTAACGAATTTTTGTGTATATATTTTATTTGATCATTTTGTTGTTGAGTCTCGTTTTTCGTCTTCTTCTTCTTTTGTTTTTCGTGAATATTTGTGAATGGAGCGTTTGTTTCATTCAGCAGCAGATGAGCCGAAGAAAATGAAAGGCAATCAGTTAGAGCAGGCCGAAAGCAAGAGATAAACAGACAATAAATATGAGGTCGGCCCTTTTGCGGCGCATTACAAAATGTATTTTGGTATTTTTGTTCTCTTCGTTTTCTTGTATTTCTTCATGTTATTTGTTGTTTGCGGGACACAAAGAGGCCACACAGCGACAGTGGTTAAAGAAAAACGCATTTCAAGAGTTTCCCATGGCGGCACACACACACACACACACACACACACACACACATACACGCGTACAAAATGGAGCCGCAGCAGTTAACAAAGTTGGCAGCGCAGTCAATGCGGCGAATGCGTAATACGGCTGCCTGCTGCTCTGCCACTGGTTTTCAGCACTCACGCATACACACATACGCACACACACACACACTCACAGACTGGCGCATGTGAGCGAGAGACAGTCGAGAAACGGGTTAAGGGCAGGCAAACTGACAGCTGAGCGCCAGCAGCGACGCGAACGCTGCTGCCATTGGCCGCCCAAAAGCGCCACAAGGCAACGCCCACTTAACAACTGAGCATACGTCTGCCTCTGTGTGTGTGTGTGCACGAGTATGCGAGTATGCGAATGTGTGTGTGTGTAAAAGAAAGTTGGTTGCGTTGCACAGCAGCTAGATGACAGCCGACAGCTGCATAACAGAGATGAAACTATACAAGCGTGTATAACAGTGCGCGGGCGTGAGCGAGATAGAGGGAGACACACAGAGCGCTTTTTGGGGCAGCTACTGCGCTTTAACCTATAATTTGTGTCTTTGCGCACGCTCTTAATTAAAATGTAAGTATTTCTGCTGGCAAACGTGGGCGCATTTAGGCTCAATTAACAGACCAGCACGCACGCACGTAACGCCCCGGCGTTGTGCTCACCAGAAAGAAGAAAAAAAGAACTTAACTCACCTGTTTTGCTCTCGCGCACTAACACTCACACACACATACACACTCAAATTAACACACGCATACAGCGTCACTCAGCGCTCTCATCCAATCAGAGCGCGTTGCGCTCACTCAAACTCGTTTTTGCGCTCAATTGTGCTAGAGCGAGACAGTGCAGAGACAATTGAATGCAAGCAGCGAACAGCGAAAGGCGAACAGCACCACCACGAGCAGAAGCAGCAGCAGCAGCAGCAGCAGCAGAAGCTGTTTTATGCTCTTGTTGTTGTTGTTGCGCCGCTCAACTGTTTCAACACAGGCAGCTGTTAAACCCATCAAGCTGAAGTTTCGATCGTAACTTTGCAGTTGACTCTCGCGCACAGAAGCGTTCGGAAGTGAAATATATTTTATTAATAATATTAGCAGTCGATCTGTGCGAGCTTTCTGAGCTTATAAGCTTTGAATCGTGTAAGCCCCGTCGCCGTCTGGCAAATTACAAAAGTGAACGAAATTCGAAAAGGTGAACAGCCGACGGAACAACTGTAATCAAATTGTATTTGATTTGTTTCTTCGCTGGCAAATACGCATTTGCATTTGGTTTTTCGGACTACAAGGTAAGCAGACGCCATTTTGTTAGACGTTGCCATTTTGTGGCTACTGTTGAAAGCTACCGCAGTTACGCAGCAGCAAAAACGACACGAAGAAAAAAAAAAGAAGAAGACGAACAACACAGCTACATCAACGGCGCATACAAAACTCGCATAGACTGTGTGGTAGATAGACAGAGACAGAGATAGAGAGTGAGAGCAAGTGCGCTTTGAGCGCTACTCGTCTTGCGCATGCGCAGTAGCCGAAGCTTATAAGAACTTGCTTCGGCTTCTGGTCTTGAGCTTCTCCTTCGTGTCACGAATGCGTCTTCGGCTTCGGCTTTCGCGTTCGTGCTTGACCAGTTAGAAAGAAGAGCTAGGCAGAGCTGCTGCTGCGGCTACGGCTGCTGGCGTGGCTGCTGCTGTTGCTGTGGCACTACAGTAGTCCGATGACTCACATACACATACACACACGCACACACATTTACATACACATACACATTCACTACTGTATTGAGCCGCACTCAAGGCACACACACACACACACACACATACACAGTGCCACACATCGAAACGCCTCGGTCTTTTAGTCTTGACTGCGTCGTCGCCGCTTCCTCAACTTGGCAGCAGCGACGCGAGCAGCACAGCAACAGCAGCAGCTCTCGGCAGCAGCAGCAGCAGAGTTGACTACTATTTCTTTCAGTTATTAGTAGCATTCATTCATTCAACTTTGTGCCGCGCAAGCGTGCGTAGTTCCTCAGTTCCTTCGCGTGTACCTACCAAGCAATAAGCAAGAAGCAAAAAAAAAAAAACAAAAATTAAATAAAATAATCATCATAATAATAATAACGATCTACATTGTGATTCCATATATATACACACACACGCAGATCAGTATATATACATAAGCCGTTGTGCTACGTGACTTTAATTCATTCGTCGCCTGACATCAGTCGCCAATCGTTGTCGTCGCGTTAATTCCAGTGATTAGCAGCAGCAGCTACCAACGTTTTGTCGCATTTCCCATTGGGTAAGTTTTGCCTATACGACTGCGCAGTTACGCAAGCGTCGCCATTGCTATGGCTCTGGCTGCGCAGTCAGCGTCGATTCGGCTGCACCTAGGCGGCGGCGTCGCACAGTAGCCAGCAGGCAGTAGGCAGCATTGGCGCTTATGTTATTTTTGTTCTGTTCTCTTCTCTTTATTCTCCGTTGCCCATGCTGTTGCTGTTGTTGTGTATGTGTTTGCTTGGCTACCAGTTTTACGCGCTTTCATTGGCCCAAGCCAATGTGCGTGAGAGTCGTTCGATGTGTGAGTGTCTTTGCGTGTGCAAGAGCGTGAGAGTTGAAAGAAATGGTTTGTCAATGGCGTGCGTTAAGCTTTTTTGCCTGCGTATTAAGCTGCCACAAAATGGCGAACACAACAGAATTTCTAATAAGCCAATTGCACACATCTTATTACATCAGCAAATCAAAACAATCTATATTTTTTATATTACATAATATATTAAATAAAGTATGCTTATATCTCATTAATTATAACTCGCATATAACAATTGTAAAATTTTACATTGAGCTGGCTTCGAGCTGGTTTCTCCAAGCTATCGTGATTTGAATCGTGTGCCGACGGCATTTTTTCAACATGAGCTTATGTGGCCTTAGCTCAGCTTCAGTCAGTTGTAAGTCCATGAGTCAGCACTACTTGGACGACTTCTTATAAGCGATGAAGGCCTGTGCGAGGTTAATAAAACTTGCCAAACGTAACACATACATACATAGACAATGCGACTCACAACCGCAAATGACTTGTTGCCACAGATCATCAAATTAATTTTGGCTTAAACTAAGCTCTGACTCACGCACAACGCTTAGCATTTTCGATCAAGCTTAGCTGAATGAGTCGCCAGATTTTAACAAGCCGCTACAAGTCGCACTTTTACTATTTATATACTTTTGTATATACATATGTTTATGTATATCTCTTCTATATAGAGGCGCAATTGTGCTCAGCAGGAAATGTCTGAGAGTGAGTGACCTCGTCCTTTTTTCTTACTTTGGGACCACACGCTGCGTGCCATCAATTAGGCACAAATTAGTTAAACGTACGATCTAGCAGACATTTTGCACCTTTCACGTGGGTGTCTTAGGCTGTGGCTGTTGTCCAAGCTGCACAACTGTCTGTCCGTCTGTCTGTCATATTCGATCACGCAACGCATTCGAACGCATCTAGTTCGCGTTTGACGCGGTGCGTGTTTTCCCACAGGAAAAAGAGAAGAAAACAAACTAGACATTTGTCTTTCGGTCAGCACTTGAAAGATCCTTTTGTGGTTAGGTGTTGTCTCCCTCGCTTCAGTTTAAGTTGTGTCCAGTTTCGCGCGCCCCGCACCCTTGCATTGTTCTCTCATTCTTTGGACTACTAGAAGCACGGTGTCTAATTGTTGTTGCTGTTGCTGTTGTTGTGTGGCTGGGGTTTTATTTTTCTTGAGAATTCTGCGCCATTAGCACAATTAGATTCGTATCAAATCGTTTCGGTGCCTTTGTCCTTTACATTTTTTATATGGCCTGAGCCGTGCGGCTTATTGTCATTTTTTCCACATTTTCGGAATGTAATTTTTAATGACACCTTGCCAACTCACCTTGTCCGCCTCCAAAAGAACTCACAAAAAAGGGCCACATTGGTAAGTGTGGTAATCGCTTTTGACCATGTCAGCTACGCTGGCCCTTAGCAGTGTGCGACGTGTGTGTCACTCCGCTGTCTGTCTGCCTGTCTTCCCTTCTTCTTGCCCTTTAGTTTTTTAGGTCCTGGCAGCCTTATCGGCGTGTACCGCTGCACATTATCGCTGGGCCGGGGTGTTAAACTGTAACTTTTCGGATTTTGGCTTCGTGGAAAGGCGCTGGCGCACACACACACACACACACCCTCGCACACACAGGCACACTGCCAAACGATTTAGATACAGATTCAGATACGTTGCCTCTCTGCCTCTGTCTCTCTCCCACTCTCTTTCTCTCTGTGTCTGTTTGTTGCCATTTTTGGTGCAAATCTAATTTCACGCAGCATTAACGCCTTTCGCATGCCCTTCACAAGCTGCTGCATCTTCACTTTAACATCTGAAGTCTGAGTTTCACGCTGTGTCCTGATCTTTTACTATACACACACACACGCACTCGCACACACACACACACTCTCTCTGCCTCTCTCATATGCCTCAGCTCTCTGCATGCCTTGGACCTCTCGTTGTGCTGTGTGTACAAAACACTAATTATTTTCAGTGCGGATTAATGGGATTAACTGCATCTTGTACAACACTTTATTATACAATATTTTGGCCAGTTTCAATGTCTGCTTAAGCGCTTATGCGTGTGCGTATGTGCGTGTGGTCTTTTGACTGTGCTCGAGCTAATGCTAAGCGGCTTTGGTTAGAATATCAAATGCCAAACAGCAACAGTTGGCAAACAGCCAGCGGATTATGCAAACACAAATTCACAGTGGCTACGGGAAGAAAAGATCTATCTTCTTATTCATGTATTGCTGGTGTTTATAT